GACAGCCTTTCGCGTTTTTATACGAGGGGAAGGCTCGACCCCTCTCGGTGAGACAGCATAGACATCGGGATAAGCCGTCAGCCATGCATCACCCATTTACCCGGACAAATATACCCGCGAGCCCGAGGGTATGTTGGACCGCTGCATGCGCGCACAAAATGGCACGGATGCTTTGGCCCGCTCATTCCCACAAATACCCTACAGGGATCGGTATCCCTGTTTATCCTACCCGAGCCTCTCATCGTAGAGGCAAAGCTACTGGTTTCCTCTTAGTCTGACCGCTCTCCGAAGGCCTGTCCGGCAAGGTAGAACCTGCCAGGACCGAAGTCCCGCCGGTATAGCCCCTCGGATCATCACGGTTCTCAAGCCCGGGCACCACGTCAAGGTGGGAAACCGTCGCCCGGGACATCACAGGCCTGTTCCAACATTTTTCCTAATTCCAGAGCTGCTTCCTCAGCCTCCCAGTTTATCGACTGGGGGCAGAGCCAGTCCTTCAGAATGACAGATGCTTTCAGCAGATCGTAATCCATGTTTTTTGTAGACCATCTGGGAAATTTAACTGGTCCGGTTTGACGCACGCTTTCAGACCCAATACCAGCTAATGATCCACCCATTGTCATCTCGATAAGTGAATGGTCGGAGAGAGTTTCTACCTGAGAAACTCTCCAACTCTCTATATTACACATTATATCGGAACTACACCAAGTAAGGTCGACTATCGATGTGCCCTGCGCCCGAGTGCAGGTGGGGGTAGAGCCAACATTGACTATAGCAAAGTCAAGAGAAGCCGCCCATTCCTCAACAATCTCTCCACGAGGATTGGTATATCTGGCCCCCCAGAGCGTAGAGGCCGCATTAAAATCCCCCATTGTAATAACAGGGGAGGGACCTGTCTTCCTAATACTGTCCGCTAGCATGTCAAGTCTCTGTTCCAGTTCCGCACGCCTTTCATTTGGGGGTAGATACACGCTGTATACCCGCAGTACTCCCATCTTGATGGCGACAAATCCTCTACCTCGTTCCAGCAGTCTGGCTTCTTTATGGCATAACTGTGGGAGCCAAAATATACCAGCCATTCCATCTACATCCCCAAACCATTGAGATGACTCAGGGATGCTATGAGGCTCCGACAAACACGCCAGACTTATTTTGCTCTCTAACATCCGTTGTATCAGCAGATCCTGCGCTGGCCTCGAGTGGTTAGCATTTAACTGAGCTATCCACATGTGGCGGAGTTATTTGGATTCTCCTCCGGTGCCACTGGACCCCCACCAGTTAGCTCAACATTTCCCACATCTCCGTCGATCTCCATGGGATTAGTGCCAGAATATTCAGGCACATTTCCTAGCTGTTGGGATTTCCCATCATTTATCCCGGTGTTGATTCGACCACTTCGAGGGTTTATATTTTTAGCGGAACACTTCTCCGATTCCACTCGATGATCGGCATCAGATCCACGTGATGCACACACCGGGCATCGAACCCGATTTGTGCACGAGGCTGCTCTATGCCCCATTTCGCCACACCTGTAGCATAGCCCACTCCTATCTTCTGTGCTTGGGCACGAGGCTCTAACGTGTCCAAATTC